AAAATAGTGATTAAAAAAGTGATTAAGAGTTTTATACAACGGCTCCTGGTTATTTCAGCAGCGAACGAAAAAGAGTTAACTACTTTTTAACTGCAGTTAGCGCTAACTACGTTTTTATACAACCGGCCCCTGATTTTTTATATCCAGATATAATTTTTATTCTATTTAATCTATATTCAACGCAATGGCGTAACTACTATGGGCTCAGACCGGGAGAACCCGGGGGCCCTAACCTAAATGGGGGCCCCCAGGCTTAGGCGATAGAGCAAAAACATTAGTCAGGGCCTCTGATATGTTATAATGTCGTTTTATGACCATCAGAATTCTGTAAAATCTCTCCCCAAAGTCCAGGAAATCGCATTTCAGAGAGTCTAGATTCAAAAATTTTCCGGATGAGCATGCCCTGGACCCCCTAGAAAACTCGTGCATATACGGCGCTCGACTCGTGCCTTTGGCACTTCTACTAGGGGGGCCTTCGAAAATTTTGAACCGGGGGCCTCCTGATATAACGTTACGCCACTGATTCAACGATGTAAGTGTCTTATTACAGTGCATGTTGTAATCTTCGGTATGTGTTGTGCACTTGCCGTGGCCCGTAAATAGAATAATACATATTAAATGTTTCTGTAGATGGTTATACAATTCGACAGGATTTTAAACTACAGTTTTGCAGAATCCACCGTATCAAAATTCTTAGCCTGCATTAGCAGGTTACAGAATTCCATGCCACTGTGCTTAGAGACTATGCGTAAATATACGGGACAAATATACAGGACAAATTCGATCGAATCGGCAGCGAACGACAAATTCGCCCACACGCTGTACGTCGGCTCAATTTCGTCAGGTTTGTTTTCTGTATACAGTACAGGGTTCGTACAGGTCAGGACGAGTAAAATTCAAGACTTTCAAGGCCATGTATCAGGAAATTCAAGAAGAAAAGGGCTGAAAAGTGACGCTAAACTGTTCAAATGGCAACTTTAATGAATTTCAAACGACTTTGGTATTTGCAACCAATGAACAAGCAATTTTGGAAAATATCCAAATAGTAATTTAAAGAGCTTCTTCATAAATTCAAGGACATACATTCAATTAAGGCCTTGAATTTTTGTTTCCAAATTCAAGAACTTTGAAAAATTTTCAAATTTTGCACGAACCCTGTTTCTATAAAGAGCGCCTGTGCCCTGTGGCAGCTATGTTATGACTCATGAATGATCACGGAACACACCTGCGGTGGAAAGGTCAGTTAGGGACTAATTGTCCTAACCCACCCTATCAACATTCGAAAGTACTCTCCATGCACAAGGAAGAGGTACACTCCACAAGTAAGTGGTATACTCTCCACAAGAGGTACCCCACAAGTAAGTGGTACTTGAGGCTACATACGTACTAATATTATTAAACCAACTAGGCCTACTACCCAATGTTAATGTGCCACATATTGTACTGTATATTTAATATAGCAAATAGTCAAAAAAACAAAACAATGTATTCAATATTAACAATTTAAGATATTCCAAACAATCTTTACAACATAACTCTGTTTCTGTATAAAAATATATAATACTAATAGTTCGTTCCTAACTCACGAGTCTTCGAGTTTTATCACCGTATTGTGATAGCATATAACATATGTGTTTAGTAGACTGTCAGTGTACTATATATTGTGCCGTCCTACCATAAACCATGCGGGCACGTAAATATAGGAGTTTAGTATAATCCTCACATCTCCTCTCAGAGTATTCGCAACTTATATCAAGGTGACAGCAATGTAACATTTTGTTCACGTCGTTCTGCCAAAACCTGTGTGGACGAAAATATCATTTATCAGTACTCATTAAGTTTGTACTCAAAATTAGTAAAAGTTACTTCAAAGGCAAACCAAGGAGAATAATTAACGTACCGAGCGATATTTACGTAGCACAATATCCTTGATACGTAAAGGAGATAGCGGGCCGTCTACACTGCCTTCACGTTTCAAATATACCTGAAAAATAAACATATACAACTAAAACACTCTGGGTGTTCAGCCGCGAGTCGCTCGATCTAATGCCCATTGAAGCCTGGGGATGAGGTTTGAATCGTCACAGGGTTGTACTAAAGCCCAGGTCACACTACACAACGATAACGATACGATAACTTGTATACGCGCGCTGATTGGTCATCGTCCGACTGAAAAAAAAAATCACTCAGGTCAGCGATTTTAAAATCGTTATCGTTATCGTCTAACGATAATTTTATCATTTTCGTTGTTGTGTGGACACTAACACAATTTTTTTGACAATTATCGCGTGTTTACAATTTATCGTATCGTTATCGTTGTGTAGTGTGACCGGGCCTTAATAACTGACATGCAGTGCTGTAAAATGTCAGGCAGCGCCAGCAGCAGGAAATTCTTAATAAAATATCTTCGTAGTAAAGTTTCTCACATGCAGAAAATTTTTGTCATCTTACATTATATTGAAATAAAACTTGCTTATTTTAAAATTCCAATTCTGTTTTTTAAATAATTTGCCATATGTGGAGATTGATGGTTGTAGAACAGCACACTACAGTATTAGAAACAGTGAAACCTGTAGCTTGGCAGGGAGTCTTAAATTGGTTTACACAAAATCTTTTATCTACCGATAGGCCTGGTATAACTACTAAGTACTAGATAAAACATGAGCAGCCGATCTGTATCTGATATACAAACTCGAGCCGTACCATCTTATGAGTTCATTGGCGAAGTAATCTTAAAAATAAACATTCATTTGTCTAAGCCGAGAAAATCAAAGCTGAAGTTTATGTAAATCAGGACAAATCTTTATCCGATTTACAAACATTGATTAAACATTCATTTCTTTTGTATTTTCCTCGTGAATTATTAATGATTTTTAAACTGTATATATAGTATACGCGTACTCGTTTTTGAGGTGTAGATCGTGATGTGTATAGAGATTATGTGGGAGTAGACATTCTTGTAATGAAAATAAAAGCATGCTGTAGGACGTTTCAGCTTGCTTATTGGGCACATTCTGTAAGAATATACACTGCCCATGCCAAATTTGACATACCATGTGACGACCACATTCGTACAATGCCAGCGGTTCTCCTCCTTTAAACACAATCTCAACCACTTGTATGTTAACGAGGTATTGTCCTAGTCTGCGGTCAAATATTGGAATAAAATACACGCTATAAAATAGAAATTCAGATATGTTCAGCTGTATTCTTCATTCACTTTACATTAAGCAAGAACAATGTCTGCAGGTATTACTAGGTGCATTGGCCTAGAACCTAATATTAGGGAACTTCATGGACAATACACTAGATAGAATTGCAGCTTAAAAGAGGATACAGGATATAGTAGAAAACACTAATGTGCATATTGTACCTGTATAAGTTTTTATGAACAGGCGGATAAAATTCAGACATTTCTCTTTCTACAGTTGAACGAATTCTGTCTTGCATCCTGCGATCGCAAAAAATGCCTTTAACTAGGCCTATAAAAATGATAGAGTGAGGTAAAAATTAGCCTGGTGCCAATTTGGGTTGTGTCTGAGGTATATGAACAGATATATAATTATATATATAATGGTTTTAGTTTCACGTTGATTCCATGACAAACGCCATACAAAGAAAAAAGGATTAGGCATGCATGCAGTAAGGAGAAAATGTATTAGTTACTGTATATAATACTTGATATGTTAAAAAGTTTATGAAAAGAATAGTGAGCCGGGACGAAGGGATATATGCAAATTCCGCCAAGAATAGTCTTTCAAAATCAAACTTATTGTACATATACTGTAATCACTGCTAATTAGTCAAGAATCAATTACCATTGTCTAAAATTCCAGCAATCAAAACTCCACCATCACAGTTAAGAAAGGCTGAACCATATTTTCTGATGTGCTGTATAAAAATAAATATGATTTACAGTACATCGCCATCCGGTGGTGGGTAACGCTATTAATGGACCTATATATTCCCTAATGAATAACATTTTGATCTAGACAAGTCCAGACAAACATTTCACCACAGCTTGAAAGAGCATCACAAAATTAGTAATATTCCGAAGTTTCCTTGCGAAATGTTGTAAAATGCGGATAATATAGCACTGCGAAGTTTGCCGTTTTTCAGTCATTTTGTATTACGCACAGGAAATTGATACCGCTTTCTGAAAAAAGGTATCGATTTCCCGCGCGTAATACAAAATGACTGAAAAACGGCAAACTTCGCAGGGCTAAATTATCCGCATTTTACAACATTTCGCAACGAAACTTCGGAATATTACTAATGTTGTGATGCTCTTTCAAGCTGTGGTGAAATGGTTGTCTAGACTTGTCAAGATCAAAATTTTGTTCATTAGGGAATAGGTCCATTCTGCCTTCGTATAATAAATAAAAAATAACATTAAGAGGAGATTTTTTTGTATGTTGCGTAACACACGCTCAAAACTAATGCGTATAATATATCGCTTGAGGTTATGACTAAATTCAAAATTTTTCGATACGTTTAATCGGCAAACAAACTTAAAAAGTATGTTTAGTGCTTTATCTGCAAAATAATGCTAAAATGAAGAGATTTTAGATGATACGCCAAAGAGAAAATGATGTCTGAAGTTCAGTAAGTTTTGCTTATATGGCTGTAAATATGGCATCAATTTTAAAGCATCATTGATAATTGTATTTTAATTGACAATTTTTAACTATTATTTTATGTTTCTCAACCGGCAGATGCATTTAAAAATAAGGTAGGCAACTCTATAAACTAGAGAATAAAGCTAAAACAAAGTAATTTTGAGAGGGACGCCAAAAAGATTTTAGGTTTTGAACACTTTTCATTGCAAATACGTGACATTGAAAAAAATTGCTTCTTAACCAACGATACTCTTCTTCACACTCCCTCTATTGTCATGAGAATTGTAGAGAGCTCGCGGTAACATGGGCATGCGCTCTTCTTACAAGATTGTTATCTAACCTCTGGTAATATATGAATAGGATAAGCACCACCACCAGTTTTGAATTCAAAATTTCTTGATTCTCGCATGTCGACAAACTGATTGAGGATGTAGTATCTGAAAGAGACAAGAAAAATGTTGGACTTGGATGCCAAACGGCTGGAACCGAGCCCATCAAAAATCTAGCGCTAATGGAAATGAAAGAACTATATGAGGTCGTTGCAAACGGAGCCCTTTCAAACATGCAGGAATCGACTAATCAAGTGATGAATTGGGCCAATGATAATAAAATGGTGGTGAATCCCAAAAAAACTAAGGACATGTGGATCAGTTTTTCCCAATCCTCTCCTGAACCCCCACCTATACAAACGGATGGAATTGAAATAGAAAGAGTAAACTCCTTCAAACTTCTCGGTGTATGGGTGCAAAATGATTTAAAGTGGAATACCCATGTTTGTAAAATAACAAAAAGAGCAAATAAGCTATTATTCCTTCTCAGAGAGTGTAGGAAATCCTTCCTACCACCCGAGATTGGTTTATTAACATATACGTCGAAGATCCGGCCAATACTTGAATACGCCTCTCCAGTTTGGGGTGGAATCCCTAAATATCTTGAAGTAGAAATTGAACGTGTTCAACAAAGAAGCTTGAGAATCCTAGGATTGGAGAAAGATACCCTCCCTACACTAAAAGAAAGAAGGGACAAGGCAACATGCAACGAGCTGAAAAGGATCGTGGAAGTCCCAAACAACCCATGTAATCGTTTCCTATCTGGTAATAAGAATCACACTTACGAACTGAGAAGGACCAGAGACAGCACTCCAAGACAGCTCTCAAAAACACACAGGCATAGTACGTCTTTTATCCCAAGGGCGTGTAGATTAACCAACTCATGAAATTAGATCATTGTACATATGTATATAAAACTTTTTAAACTTTCTAAGTTTTACATTCTCATAGGTTATATATGTATTTTAGTATAATATTTTTAACTTGTAAATCCATTGTATTTCTATATGCCAAAGATGGATATCTAATAATAAAATTTAATAAAATTTAAAAAAAAAAAAAAATTTAAAAAATTTAATTTAAATAAAATTTAATTTTTTTAAATTTAATTTATATACGAAGTTTTGCTTGTATTTTTCAGGTACAGCTGCTGTAGTTGTATATTCCCTATAAATGTCCCTCCGACCTCAGGCTCAGCCAAGTCCTGACCAACAAAACCTAGCCAGGGCCTAGTCCTAGGCCCTGGACCAACAAAAACGTTGGGTAACCCATTAGAAGGTACGTACAGAACGCAGCTTCATATAGGCTGGCCGAAATAGCCAATACTGTAGCTTATCATGCACCATGCCATTTCTGTCTTGAACAAAGTTATTCCTAATACTATTGCATGTATATACAGTAATCAGATTGGTATGGTTCAAACAGAGCAAAGATCACGATCCTGCAATGTTTACTGTAGGCTTTTTTATTTAATAGCAGTTTAACCTTTAGTCTTAGAGTATACCGCCCGATATAGTTGTTCGGTATATTTATTTTACTTCAATGATTTTCGTAATATTTAACCATGTACCTTGGCAGTAAGTGATTAATCGATTCTTTTTCAACATGCTGTGGTGTTATCTCGTATCTTGCCTGTGTTCTCGTCCCATTGGCTGGAGTCTTGCACAAACATATTGCTGGAACTTTGGGTTGATAAACACGCAAGATTCGTCTTTTAATTTTGCGAAAAGCTCTTGCAAATAATCCCTCTTTTTTCACAGTGCTGTCTTCCTTCTTTTACATTTAAAGCAAAAAACAATAAAGCATGGTGCATTGGTGCCTGTTTACGTGGTAAAGTGAAATTGATAAGACATCCGCAGATTGTTACTGGTGTACTGTTATTGCATGCTAAATAATGCAGGCCTAGAATAACTCTTTCATGCAAGTAATACCAACAGTAGCCTTGCATGACTATAATATACAGTGAGCTTCGTTTTCAGCAACGAGATATCGACTTTAGAGACGTTTATCTTTACACAGATGGCCTAATTATACTGTATAAAGGTCTTTTCTATTATCTAATATAACAGTGTAATTGATTTCGTAAATGAGCTAGTCCACCTGTAACTTGTTAAAATGACTCTAATAAACCCTGAACATCTCAAATCACGAAAACGAGGCTCAAAAGCCAAAGCTGGGTACTTTCTGGTAAGCATATTTCACCATATTTTTACAAAAAACCTCCACAGTAATTCCCGCCAATTCTACGGCATTTTTCATGTAATATGCCAGATGCATTGTGGGTGACAGCTTGTGGTAGAAATTTACTTTTTCTGCATTTCTTTTGCACTTAGAGAGGTCAGTGTTTACATAGGTAAAAAGGGAAACGTTTGTAAATTTGAAAAAAGTAAAGACATATACACAAAGAGAAATCATCATTCATTTCACATCAACATTTTTTTCACAATTTATCGATTTTCTATCGTTTTTCGTATCGGTGTTTCAATATGAAAAATTCTGCAATATTTTTATGGGTCATTCCAGAAAACATCCATACCACCCCCACGGAGGAAATAGGAAGTTAACCCCCTACCCCCTTCGGATGTCCTAATACATTTACTATTATCAGAAACAATTTTTTTTTCTCCCCTCCCCCTCCGGACGGCAGAAATTTCCTCTGTGGGGGGAGTATGGATCTTTTCTGGAACGACCCAATATAAAGAAAGATTTCTTTGCAGACTTCTAATAAATTAATAATTATTAGAAGTCTGCAAAGAAATCTTTCTTTATTCAATTTTTAAAATATTGCAGAATTTTTCATATTAAAACACTGATACAAAAAAACGATAAAAATCTATACTGTAAATTGTGAAGGAATATTGATGTGAAATGAATAATATTTCCCTTTGTGTATATGTATTTCTCTTTGTATACTTTTATTAATTAATACCAATTCCCTAAAAATCTATACTACGGCATAAAACTGCCATCATTATCCACAGTTGATCCACAACATTCTCATTTTGAACTACGACAATTGCTGTGAGTGCTGCAATAAAAATCCAGCCCTGAAATAATGTATTTTCCTTTCTCACTAGTCCTTGTTCCCAGTTTCAGGAGGTTAATATAATATATTAATATGTGCGTATATTGTACCATATAATTTAGGGTGCACATGCAATATCTGAGATTCCTGGGCCCCAAGCAAGATCAAGTTGGGGAGGGGGCTTGCCAAGTACTCCCTTTCATTAGTCCTAATCTCAAGTTGGCCTGATCCATGTGTGCATGCATGGTCATGTGCATTTCAAAGAAAATTGCATACTTGTCTAGTTATTTCCCTACCTCACTCTGTGGAATGTAAGGAACTATTGCCTGACTTGGCTCACCAGTGGTAGTGACTCCCTTGTCACTTCTCTTCCGTTTCAAGTAGTTCATAGCTCGGCTCAACATTTTGATGTCTGTAGATATTAAATATACAATTGTGCTGCAGTTATTTACTAACTTATTAACCCATTAAAGTGGAACACTACTGTTTATAATAAGTAAAATAAATAGGCAGGGTGCATTGTCCCCGGGCTTGCTGATGTTGTTAGGTAGTAGTTCTGTATTAAGCACAAAATGAAATCTCCCAATTGCCTGAGAGAAAAATTATGATAAAGGGGGCAAGAAACATTGCAAAGTACGTATAAATTACTGCTTTAGTGATTAACATTTTATCACAGAAAATTGAAATACTGTAAGCTGATCGAAGTTGCCCTTCGCCCCCAGGGTAGGGCTATACATGTATGGTCATGCCATGCATGTATAGTATAGACCGAGGGATAGACATTGATGTGCATGCATGATTGATGATTCAGTTTTCCCAGTTCCCATATAAAATTATAATAACACAATCTCCAAAAAAACTAATGCTGGAAAATTAATGACAGTAAGCGCACCGTGATTTCATAGTGCGCATATCGCAAACTGTATTAAAAAAAAGCATTGCATGAATCTCGGCATTTCACTTGACCATATAGTATATAGATTATATTTGACGTTTGTACGGAATCGGGAGAAATAATATACTAAATCACAATAATTAAATGCTTCCAAAAGCATTGCAAAACACTTACAAGTATTTGATTTCTCCTTGACTCGTTTAAATGATGATAATTTTCGAAATCTAGAACACAGATTTTTATATGAAGATTTTCAAATTTTCCGCCATCAATGAAATAGAATTTGAATTCACACTGACCTTTATATACTACTGTATAGATAAAACTTATTGAATTTATTTTATGATAATTCATTCGAGATCAGTCGTCAGCATATTTGGCAGCCATCTTGTTTTATAAAAGGAAAAGTTTTATTTTTTTCTTGTTGTAAAATATCAAAATCTATGTCGGAACCAACGTTTTTAGCTGCCGGGATATGGCTTGCCGTGGCTGGTGTTATTGCTGTGGTTTTACTTATCACATCGTATTTTGTAAGGCCTTCAGAAAATAAGAGTAAGTAAAAATTCTTATTTTCTAAATATACTGTATACAGCATATGTATGTATTGAATATTATTATTTTGGTGTGCGTTATTTATACATATACGTAAGCTGGATTGCGAAGGGCTTCGAGTTGAAGGCTTTCTAGTGCCTCTAGAAGCTACTTTAATTAAATGACTAATGTCTGATCACACAGTGTGAAGCTAGGGGCCATTCCATTTAATATACACCCCCCCTATGGACGAGAATTTCTGAGGGGGGTTGAAAAAGCCGTTTCTGAGGGGTTGTGTGCATCGACATCCTTTGATCTTTGCGTTTTTTCTGAGGGGTATTAAGGCAAAAATTTCTTAATTTCTGGGGGGGTGTTTGTGTTGGCACTTTGATCTAAGTTTTTTTCTTAGGGGTTCAAATTTTATTGACCTCGTACATAGGGGGGGGGGGTATATTAAATGGAATGGCCCTAGGTTGAGACAGTGAGTTCCCGAGTATTCCCTGCATAGGGGGTAGTCCCAACTATAAATCCTGTCATCATTCCCTGTGGGGCAAAACTAGAGTACCTGAATATCACTTGCGCCCTTCGGTAAAGCATTTACTGACTCTTTTTGTGTAAGTGTTAGTGTCAATGTGTCATGAGTCACAATCTCAGAGGTGAAAGGTGCTTGCTATGACGATTGCGCCGCCACCAAAGGCCCAGGGTGCATTCCGTGTAAACCTCATGCCGAAGATAATCTGAGGTAGTGTTACCATGCGCCAAGTGAGGTCAACTTGTCAACTTATACGCCAGCTGATCGCGGGCACCATGATTTTTCATTAATAGTTAGTTGCTTAAAATTTAAACTTGCTAAAAAGGTGTGTAATATTGCACTGATGAATAAAATGTTTTGCTGATGAGCAATGATGAGTGTTGTTACTGTTGTATCACAAGTTATAACCACCATTTAGCTACTATTACAACCAGAAACACTTGTAAATTTCTCGAGTCCCCAAATAATTATAGAGGCCAATCACCAGGTGATTATTGTCTCGCTTAAACATTTGTCTCGCCAACCACCAAAACTAAAAACTTGTGCGTCAACCTCAACGTGATTGTGCGCCAGCAATTCAAAACTCACGCCGAAGATCTTCCACAAAACATGCATGGAATGCACTCTGGCCAAAGGCCCATGCAGAATGGGAAAATGTTTTCCATCCTTGTGTGTTGTTAATTAAGTTCAACTAAATTGACAAGGGATCTACAAGAAATATTTCAACTTACATATAGCACATAGAGGGTGGAAAAAAAATTCTTTTCTGTATTAATTAAAACATGAGCCAGTCACAAAGAAGGTCAGTTCAACCAAATAATCAGCTAACTAATCTGCATCGTATAATCATCTGTTCACAAAGATTGCCAATTGCTGAGGTTGATTATTTTATTGAGTTTTATTATACAGTATTACTCTGTCTAATGCCAGATGATTTTATTCATCAAAGGAAGAGTGCTGCAATTCAATCTGCCATTGCATCCTAGCTGTTAACCCTTTAAGTGGCAAAGCTCTCTGATGAGCCCTACTTTATTGTTTTACTCTGTCTAATGCCATTTACTCATCAAGGAGAGAGTGCAACCACTCCATGAGTTAAAGAGACAGTATACAGTATGTTGTTCAAAAGCACAAATTAATTCACTTTTTTAAAACTGTTGTAGAAAAGAAGGACCAGCCTCCTGCTGCAGTGAATGATAGAAATGACAGAGTGGCTGGACAGCGCAGACGTCGCGGAGCCGACATGATGAGACGTCGAATGCAAGAACAAGATGATGTTGATGACGAAGGTTTGTAGAACTTTGGTTCACGACCTGACATTTACCTATTCAAAAATCTGTTTTACCTGCCCCACTCACATTACTGTTGAAACATACTGTAAGACTATTTTATGATCGAGATTCTTATTTTTTAATAGTTACCGTATACTTATTCGTATCTCAATTTTTGTAGATGATGACTTTGGAGGTTTACCATTTGATCCAAATGAACCTACTGGGAAAATTGGAACAAAGAAAATGAGAAAACTTGAAATGAAAGCAGAGAAAAAGGCTTTGAGAGAGGTACATTATTTCTTCAACAAATAATCCATTCAGTGACAGTGGATGCTGAATGGACACTTATTGAAGTTTTCAAACAATAATTTCAAATGGTCATTAAACTACATTCAATTTGTATAATTCGATATAGTCAATATTATCGATATATTTTTTTGATATCGATATATCAGTTTTTTCAATATTGCATCAGCCTACATCAGGCAATTCGTAAGCTTGTAAAGCTACAGTACTGAGTGTTACGGTGTTACTCTGTAGGAGTATGGCATGAAGTACTGCTCCTAAAATGATGTATTTCTATCAATCATGAAACTTAGGAAATGGAAAATGAACGAGAGGACAGAAAACAACGACAGAAAATAATGGAGGAAGATTCAAAACTTCAGGAGAAAATACGCAAGAAACAAAAGGAAAAGGAGGTATGTGTGGATTGGATGTCAAAACTGCAATAGGTCAGCGAAAGTCCTGTTATTATATGTGGTAATTTGATGGCAAATAAATACTGTAAGAGAGAGATTTAGTTAATAAGTGTTATTTTCTGCCGGCTGAGGAACAAAAAGAGGTAGAAAATGTTTTTTCTCACACACTGCTGGGGGACTGGGTCAATGGTGGGGTCCAGGTCACTGGAATCACTTTTTTGCTTGCACACCGTAATGGCAGGAAGAGCCTTAGTGTGTTGATATTTTGTTTGTTATCCAATTGTTTGTAAATATTTTGTTAAAAGGTCAGGCTTACATGTGCAGCATCCCTCAGCAGTGTGTGGGAACTAAATTCTTCTGAATTTCACTACCTACTATTAACTGTGTACACATGAGCCATAAAGGCCTGGTCATACTAGTACAATGATAATGATACAATAATTTGTAAACATAAGTATGTTGATTGGTCAAAAAATTGGTTCTGACTGGAAAAAATCACTCGAGGGTGAGCAATTTACAATCACTCCATTATAATTGTATTGTTGTACCATGACCAAGCCTTAAATAATATAATTTAATTAATTGATTGATTTATTGATTGATTGATTTTGTTTGGATAAAGGAAGAGGAGGAAAAGAAACGAAAAGAGGAACAAGAAAGATTGGAACATGAGGAATATTTAAAATTGAAAGAAAGTTTTTCTGTGGAAGGAGAGGGAAGCGGTGATCTAGATTTGCAAGAAGAGGTAACAGCCATCATCTGTGGTATATGTGGATTTTTTGGGTAGAGCAATGCGTGTGCCATGTTGACAATAGTCCCAGAGAAAGTCAACACCCTCCCCCACCAACAATGAAAAAAAATGTTAGCATTAACCATATATAAATTTTTGAAATGTACAACATCAAGAATACAGTGGTATGATTTATGCAATCCTTCACATAACGGTACCAACTAATGGAGAGATGCATCCCTTCACTGCATCCTCCCCCCCCCCCCAGTCAAGATGATCCTTGACCTTAATCCCACCCTGTCATATGTTGTGGTTGATTGCAGTATGCTTACTAAAGTAGTTGATCTTTTTTATTCACTTACAGAGGGTTTAATATCAAACTTCTTGTAATCGTCACTATATTCTATGCCAACTTTCTAAATATTTTTTTTGTTATTCTAGTCTCAATCTTTACTGCAAGATTTCATAGACTACATCAAGGTACAGAGCAAGTTATACTCGGCAGTGTCAAAATAATATAAAACTAGTTTTTCATATCTCAGAGGATGGTTTTGAAACAAATTTGGTGCCTAGGGTTTCCTTTTGGAGCAGAAAGGTTTTTTACTATACATCCCTGTTGTTGCTGCAAAACTAACAACTTTGAAAGTAAATGTATAGGACATAATAGCGTCTGTTTAAAAAGTTAAATACATTTTGGTTAAACAAAATTATTTTTATAATTTTAGAACACGAAGGTGGTACTTTTGGAGGATCTTGCTGCACATTTTAATTTGCGTACCCAAGATGCCATTAACAGAGTTCAAGTTCTTCAGGAAGTGGGAAGGTTGACAGGTAATATTGCTTGATCTTCCCAGTACAGAACAATGGGAGCGACGATAAGAGCCTGGGTAAGACAGTGAGCTGTGTATAGGAATGTGCATGGTCAAACACTTGCTACAAATACATTTCGTATGTCCCAATAGTAATTGGTTTTAGGTACGAAGTGAGACACACCCATGAGACGTTTATATACATACGTGTACATGTATTTATGTACTGCATTCAACTAGATATCCAATCGCATTGTTGATTAATATATTATAATATAAATAATATTAAAATATCTATAATAAGTATTAGGTTATATATCGGTTTACAGTATAACCAACTTATTTCAGTACTAGTTGAGGAGATTTTCAAAGACTTTCGATCACGATTTTTCGAGTTTTGTCGACAAATTTAATCTAATTATTTATTCACACGTTATATAACCTGTATACATTCCGCGGTACATCAAAGAAAGCTGACTCAATTGGTAAATAATCAACCAGAGTGTTTAGAAGAGAAGCGGAGTAGAGACTAGAGAGCCTGGCTTGCGAGGTTGATAAATAATATCAATAATAAGCAAATCCATTTGTGAGTTCTGGGTAACCAGGTATAATATCAAACATGTTTTCACTCACTGCTCTGGTCTGGTTAAGTAAATCAGCGGGGATTCTATGAAACATATCCAGCAAATTTATGTTTTAGGGGTCGTTGATGACAGAGGAAAGTTCATTTATATCTCCCAAGAAGAACTGGAATCTGTGGCGAAGTTTATTAAACAACGAGGCAGAGTTTCGATAAGTGAAATCTCTGATTCCAGTAACTCTCTGATCAATCTTGATGCAGCTCTTCAAAGAAGAGAAGTTCAGCCTATTGAGTCGCCTGCATAACTTTGCCAGATGCATATGAGTATATTCATCAAAATATATATTTGTTCAGCAACTAACATGGCAAATTCTCTTATCAATTGTGAAGCGGCTATTCACGGAGGGTGTGACTGTGAGGCCCCTCAATATCTTTATACTGTCTCTGAATGGTAGATGACTACACAAAGTAACTTTCTAGCGAGTTTTTTCAACAAGGACAACCCGATATCTTAAATATTAGCCAAAAATGACGACTGAAATTTGCAGGATTAGTATATGTTGGCAACCTAAGTTCATGGGGTATGAGCTTAGATTGCCAACATATTCCAATCCTGCAAATTTCAGTCCTCATGTTTGGCTAATATTTAAGTGTCCTTTTCCTGCCTGGCTGGCATTTTGACCTGTACTTACATTATGTCGATTCAAAGTGAAGGGAAAGACAGCACGGGGTCACGGGCTGCAAATTGTGCATCCTGAACTCGTTTTCAAATGCGCGCTTGCGTTTTCAAGCTAGAACGTTCTGAACGAGTTCAAAGCACCATTTGCGTTCGAACAGTGTCACCCTCGTAGAGCAACAAGCGCATAAGCCCTGGGTACGACGTTGACACAGTGTTATGTTGGGGTTATGTTTAGCGTTTGTATATATAAGGATTGGAGTTGGGGGATAATGAATGTTAAGATTGGGTTAGGTAAATGTTAGGGTTGGGATACGATTAACTAAAGGTAAGATTGAGGCTTAGTTTGGGGAGGGTGTAAATTGGTAAAAAATTATAATTGGTAGAAGGCAGGCTTTTAGCCAGAGGGGCGTCCTGAGACGCCCCTAGAACGAAAAATGGACGCCCAAATTCTTTTCAATAAATTATTTTCAATAATTTCCCTAAGTATATTAATATATCCGAAACGAAATAGCTTCACTTCTAATTATCATTATACATTTGACATTTTGATCAATTTGATGGTGTACCTAGCTGAATGAAAACGTCGTAGTTAAGTAAAGAAGCATAGCGGCACAAACTCACAAAGCCAAGTGTGTTGGAACAGAGCTTGGAACAGATACTGACATGAAGTGACGTAAATTTCAAAGGTTTTCCAGAGGAACATTTCCTCC